ATAACATGATAGTCTCGGTCTACAACCGTCGGGAGTTACCTCTTATTAGGCTCAAGTGACTAATCTCTTCGAAGTTCCGTACTCGGCCGTGACCCTCCGCGTGCGTGCGATTGTCGTGCGATAACTCGCGGCGTAGCGTGCGATGGCTTATGGTGCGAGCGGCTCTCGGCGGTAGCTCACGAACAATACTCCAACCCACACAATATGCTCTCTAATCTATCGGCATTATAAACTTGGGCGTGCAAGAAGATGGAAATTTCTTCAAGTCCACTCTTATAAGATGGCCGATGGAAAGACAAGTGAGGGAGAATCACATGTTCAATGGCTAAGGACACTTAGCACCCATGCAACTTAAAGCTTAAGACACATGGCACAACATGCTAGATGATGCCAAAAAAATGAAGAAGAAATGCTTGAACAAATACCCACTACATGCACGGCATTTAGGAAAACAAAGAAGGAAATTTGAACAAAATGCACTAATATACATCACTCACTTACACGGCACTAGAAGACAATGAGGAAGGCATCTTGGACCAAAATCTCTAACATACACACTTAACCACACGGCACATAGGACAATGGAGGAATCTTGACGACAATACCACATGGAGCACGGCATTTAAGGACTTGGAATAGCAAAGATTCTCCACTACTATGCATTAGAACCGCACGGCTAAAGGAGTATATAGTGCACGGCAATTAGCAATGCCAATGGTGATTAATTACCATTAATCAGAAATTAAGGCTTAATCAATTAATTAAGCCTAATACTTAATTACCAAAATTATTTCGAACGTAAACGGTACGTCGAAAATAATTTCCGGTAATTTCGACTGAAATAACTGAAAATAATTAATTCCGAAAAATAATATCGGAACTAAAAATATAATTTATACTAATAGATAGTCGGGATATTACAATCCTCCCTCCTTACAAAATTTCCGTCCTCGGAAATTCAGAACATAACTGAAAATACATGAACTATGTACATGGAATAAGAAATATGTACATCAGAACTGAAAATCTGGAAAACGAGCGCGAATATCGGACTCCTCCTCCCAAGTAGCTCCGTGGCGATCCCACGAAATGCGCACGAGGGGAATATCTCACTTCCGGAGCCGACGCTCCTGACGGTCCAGGACAGCTACCGGTCGCTCCTCGTACGAAAGATCTGACTGAACCTGAATATCTGAATGAGGAATGACATGATCGGGGTCGCACACGTACTTACGCAACATCGATGCGTGAAATACATTATGAATGCCTGATAACTCGGGAGGTAGAGCTAAATGATACGCGACCTCGCCTACTCGTTCGAGAACCTCGAACGGACTGATGAATCGAGGGTGCAGCTTTCCTCTCTTTCTGAATCGCACAACTCCGCGAATCGGACGAACTCTGAGAAAGGCTGGCTCGCCAACCTCGAACTGAATGTCTCGTCGATGATGATCGGCGGAAGATTTCTGACGACTCTGAGCTGTCCTGAGTCTCTGCCGGATCAACTCGACCTGATCTGCTGTCTCCTCGATCAACTTGGGACCGAGTACTCGTCGCTCTCCAACGTCGTCCCAATAGAGAGGGGAACGACACTTGCGACCGTAAAGTGCCTCGTAAGGAGCCATCTGAATAGAAGAATGGTAGTTGTTGTTATACGCAAACTCGGCGTACGGCAGCAACGACTCCCACTTAGCACCCCTGTCAACAACCAAAGCGCGAAGCATATCCTCAAGCGTCTAAATAGTCTGCTCTGACTGACCGTCTGTCTCCGGATGGTAGGCTGAACTGAACTCAAGCTTCGTGCCCATCGCCTCATGTAAACTGTGCCAGAATCTGCTTACGAATTTGGGATCTCTGTCTGATACAATAGTGACGGGCACTCCATGGAGTCGGATGATCCCAAGGGTATATATCTCAGCCAACTTGTCCAAAGACATCCTCATCGAAACGGGTAAGAAATGCGCAAACTTAGTCAATCTGTCGACCACGACCCAGATAGCGTCGTGATGTTCAGACGACCTCGGTAATCCCGTAACAAAATCCATCGTGACTTCCTCCCACTTCCACCTCGGAATCGGCAGTGGCTGCAGGAGGCCAATCGGACTCTTATGTTCGGCCTTGACTTGCTGACATGTAAGACATCTCCTGACGAACTCGGCGACGTCCTTCTTCATGCCTTGCCACCAGAACGACCCTTTCAGGTCGTGATACATCTTCGTGCTCCCGGGATGGGCTAGGTACGGTGCAGTATGAGCCTCTGATAAAATCTCCTTCCGCAACGTCTCAACTTTCGGGACCACGATCCTGCCCCTGAACTCTAGGGCACCATCGGCACCTAGCTGAAAACCCTCGACGCCTCCGGCTCGAACCTTGGCCTCCATGACACGAACAAACTCGTCAGAAGCCTGCTCTCGCCGAATTCTCTCTCTCAGCGTCGGCTGAAGCTGCATAGCACTGACACTGGCACTGGTACTCCCCGAAACTGCTATGGGAAGTGCATCAATCGCCTGAAGCTGCATCCGGGCAAACTCCTGAATCAACGGACTCTGCTGAGTGATGACGTACGTCAAGTCACCCCTCACCTGACGGCTTCGGGCATCTGCAACGACGTTCGCCTTTCCCAGATGGTACTGAATAGAGCAGTCATAATCCTTGACGAGCTCTAACCAACGGCGCTGTCTCATGTTGAGCTCCTTCTGAGTAAAGATATACTGCAAGATCTTATGATCTGTGAAAATCTCACAATGACCGCCGTAAAGATAGTGTCGCCAAATTTTGAGAGCATGAACAACTGCTGCTAACTCCAAGTCGTGCGTCGGATAATTCTGCTCATGCGGCTTAAGCTGACGGGAAGCATACGCAACGACCTGGCCATCCTGCATAAGGACACATCCCAAGCCCTGTCTGGAAGCATCGCTGAAGATAGTGAAACTCCGAGATGGATCAGGAATAGTCAACACCGGTGCTGAAGTTAATCTCCTCTTGAGCTCCTGAAAGCTCGACTCACATCGGTCAGTCCACTCGAACTTTACAGACTTCCTAGTCAGCTGGGATAGAGGAAGGGCGATCTTGGAAAAGCCCTCGATGAACCTGCGATAGTATCCAGCTAGACCGATAAAACTGCGAACCTCGGATGGACTCCTCCGTGCTGACAGATTCTGAACAGCTGAAACCTTGGAAGGATCCACCTCGATACTCGCCTGAGTAAACACATGACCTAGAAAGGATACTCGCTGGAAACAGAACTCGCATTTGGAGAATTTCGCAAACAACTTTTCTCGTCTGAGGGTTTCGAGAACCACCCTCAGATGCTCCTCGTGCTCCTTCTGGCTCTTCGAGTAGATAAGAATATTGTCAATGAAGACAATAACAAATTGATCGAGGTAGGAATGAAAGATACGGTTCATGAGGTCCATAAAAACTGCTGGCGCATTGCTGAGACCGAATGGCATGACGGCGAACTCGTAATGGCCGTAACGAGTCCTGAAAGCGGTCTTAGCGATATCTGACTCCTTAATCTTCAGCTGGTGGTAGCCTGATCGTAAATCAATCTTTGAAAACACACAGGCTCCCCTCAACTGATCAAATAAATCGTCGATCCTGGGGAGCGGGTACTTATTCTTGATCGTCAACCGGTTAAGATCCCGGTAGTCGATACACATGCGCATGGATCCGTCCTTCTTCTTAACAAAGAGAACGGGTGCTCCCCAAGGTGACACAATCGGTCGGATGAAACCGAGTCGTAACAGCTCCTGAATCTGTGCCTTAAGCTCCTGCAACTCCTTAGGCGCCATACGGTACGGGGCTTTGGATATCGGACCGGCCCCTGGAATAAGGTCTATAGAGAACTCCACCTGCCGATTAGGCGGTCCTCCGGGGAGCTCGTCTGGGAATACGTCCACAAACTCTCGAACGACTGGAACATCGTGAGGTGAACGCGCTTTCTGGGAATCATCAACAAGGCTCACCAGATAACCCTGGTAGTTGCCTCGTCGCAGCAACTTAGTGGCTTTCACCATTGATACAACATGAGGCAAAGAACGGTTTCTGGAGCTGAAGAAAGTAATCGACTCGTCTCTCGGAAGATAAAGAGTAATCTCCCGGTCGTGACATTTGATATCCGCATGATAAAAGGATAGCCAATCCATTCCGAGAATAAGATCAAAGTCTCTCATCTCGAGAACAAACGCGTCGGTAGACAAAACTCGGCCACCGATGGAAAGGCTAAGATCTGAAGCTTTAGCTGAAGTCACTATCCTTCGTCCCGAGGCCAAACTCACCTCTAGAGGATCGATAGAGGTAGTAGCGCGAACTCCGATGGCGTCAAGACATCGTCGTGAAATGAAAGTATGTGTTGTTCCGGTATCAAATAAAGCAAACACAGGAACATTATTAAGAACAACCATTCCAGACATGGTACCTGGCTGCTGCTCGGCCTCTTCCTGATCGATGGCGTAAACTCTGGCCTGCTGTCTGCCCCTCTGCTGCTGCTGCTGAGGCTGCCTCTGTGCCTGCTGACGGGGCTGCTGCTGCTGCGGTGGCTGCTGAGGCTGCTGAGGCTGCTGAGGCTGCTGAGCCTTCTTCGGACAACGGTTCGCAAAGTGTCCGGGCTCATGACAATAGTAGCATACATCCTGACCAAAGCGACACTCGCCTCGGTGAAGTCGTCCGCATGTCGTGCACTGAGGAATCTGCTGAAGCCTCCGTCGGGCCCTCTTATCTGCCTGGGCACCTTTCTCTTTCCTCTTGTTGTTCTTGGGCGGCTGGGTAGATGGTAAAGTTGACATCGGTGGAACTGAAGACGACTGAGCAGGGGTGGATGGATGAAACTGACCACGAGCGGCCTCCCTCCTAAGGCTGGCATCCACCTCCTGAGCAATAGAGACTGCACGCGCGTACGTCTGTGTCCCGTGGCCTACGATGTTATGACGGACTGCTGGGTAAAGCCCTTCAATGAAACGCTGCGCTCGCTGGGCCTCCGTGCGGACCAAATCAGGAACGAAAGCTGCAAGTCTCGTGAACTCCCTCTCGTACTCGTCAACAGTACGAGTACCCTGCTGGAGCGATAGAAACTGACGCTCCATCTCTGCTCGGTAGTATGTGGGATAGTAATTCTCACGGATTAACTCCTTGAGCATCTCCCACGTACATCCCGCCTTCTCACCGGGACGCATGCCCCAGTAAGCGTTCCACCAAAGCCTGGAATCACCGGTGAACTGAAGCTATGCGCAAATCACGCGATATCTCTCAGGGCACTCCATGACCTTGAAGATAAACTCCAGGCCCTGAATCAACTCATCAACTACGCGAGGATCTCCCTGCCCTGAGAACTTTTCGGCATGATAGTCACGGAACTGGGCGACCACTGTAGCCTGAGTAGGAGCCGGATGATCGGGTTCCCTACGTGGCGGCATCTGAACATTGAGAAAGTTCGAAATCATTTAATGCATGAAAATATATTTTGACTGATTACTAAGGCACACAGATCTCTTGACGAGTTGCCAAAAATGGCCGATAATTACTGACAGGAATTCTGAAGAAACTCTAGAGTCATAACGGAAGATTATAAAGTCTAGAGTCATGCCTGAATATGCTGATCTCTAAAGTCAAGTCTGAATGTGCTGAATTCTAGAGTTATATCTGAACCCTAAAATCTGAATCTGAATCGAGCATCTTAATTAAGTCTGATTACTGATTTCTGAGCATAGACAAAGTAATATGTTTATAACTGAAAAACTGAATCAGCACTTACCTGGAGTCGGCGAGGCGTGAGCGTGACGGTTCAGGTTTTTCTGAAAATTATTGACTGAAAAACTTTTCAGAGACGCAAAAACGTGCGCTCTGATACCAATTGTAACGCCCCGACTTTCACTACCATATCAGAGTACGCAATTTTTTGCAAATTTTCTGAATAAATAAATAAAATACTTATTTTGCGAAAGCTGATTCGGGATGCTACCGTGAAAAACTTGATTTTTCTGAAAAATCGTTAAATTTTTAAACTGATAAATAAAACATACGGTCATAATGTCTTATCCGACTAACGTCGGAGCAAAGTCTGATAATAATTACTTGAAAGTTTTAGCGGAAACAAAGCCTGGCTAAACATAAATACAATAATCATAAATATCCTGAACAGCTCGCCCGCTCACTCCTTGTCTCCGACTCTGCGACCTGAAAAACATGAAAGGTGTGGGGCGTGAGCACTAAAACACTTGTGCTCCGCAGAAACTCATACTAATGTAAACATCGTAAATAATAACAATATCATGAGCTAAGCATATACAACTGAACTGAAACTGAAACTGATATTTGAAACCGGTCTGATCTCGCGACATAAGTCACGTAACTGATAACTGAAATCTGTCGGCACAAACTAATACCGCAATCTCCCGGCACAAACTAATACCGGACCATGTACACACTCTAGTGGTTAGATTAGGCCACTAGAACTCAGAATGGACCGGCGACCATTCCGAGTGGATACTGAATATACATACCTCAAACATGGTAGCGTAATTATAAACAATGTAGTACTTAGTCTGAGTCCCCACCTGAACTGCTGAAACTAAAACTGAATGGCAGTGCTGATGTCTGATCAAACTGAAATTAATATAAACAATTACTATTGACTATGCTCAGACTGATAATTTAACTATTTAATTGTGTTAAGATGCTCTACAGAATCTGACATGATATTCGGATTTATTCGGTATTACTGAAACCGGCTAAGTACGAAACTGAGTTGACAATAATTAACTGAACTAAACTTGACCCGGAAATTAACTGAAAA